AGGGTCTTGTTTAGGCCTGGGAGATGGCTCAGTAGAGTAAGTGCTTCCCTGGTAAGTGCAAGGGCCTGAGTTCAATCCCTGGTTCTGCCAAAAAAAACAAAACAAACAAACAAACAAAAAAAAACCAAGACCAGTCAGTACAGGACCTTGTTTAAATTGATCTCATAATAATCCTGTTAGGAATTCGTCACAAATGAGGAATGGCATAGTCATTAAATAGAAGAGTTGACCTTTAATTTCAGATCTTCTGGGATTGTTGCCTGCCTTACACATTGCTAGATGACTGCTTTTGTATCACACTTCTCAAGTGAGTAGAGATAATCTAATAATCTATCAAAGTTTGATAGCTTAAATGTAGGGGATTTGTTCTCCTTCACATGACCAGTAGAAAGCATCAACATTAGTGAGAATATCTTCTTTGTATACTCACACTCTAGGACAGGGAAACAGCAAAGTTATTTAGCCGGCACATAAAGCACTATCTTCTAACTGACTGATAATGAAAGTGGTGTTCTGTTCCTCTGCTTTTTGTCTCATTTCTCAAGAGCCAAGTTTCAAAACTTGAATGCCACTTATTTTACCTTTGCAAGACCTTCACAGCTAAAAATCTAACTTTATGCCAGAGTCAGGTCCTACCACATCTGGAATCTGAGATGGAGAAGATGGGGTTGGGGTGAGCTTGACCTAGGAAGGCAGCTACGAGAGGCAAGTGTAGTCTCAGATGATGGTTCATAGCCATTTCCCACACTCACACCTTCCCATCAGTGACAGCGGCTCCTTACCGCCACCGTTTTCCCTGGAAGCAGGAGGAAGGGTACACTGCAAGACAAAATCGGAGTCTAGGCAAGAGTTGTTATGTTCACTGAACATTTAAATAGGCGGTTTTCCACGTGCCCCTCTAGGGAAGCCCTCTGCATTCTGTCAAGGTCATGAGAAACATCACCAAGGCTTTGTTTGATCCTCATGTTGCAAGTTCATAAACTCATTTCTGCCAGCTTACCCAGTGATAATTGGACCCTGGGGTACTGAGTCACAGTCACAGGGGGCTGATTTATGATCCAGACTGTCAATTAGCCAATTTGAAATAGAAGCTTTGACTTTCCTATGTGTGAACTCCTCACATCCTCTTCTAAAACGCTCTCCAGCCAGCATCTAGGTGAGGGAAGACCAAATCAGCAACCAGAAAAGAAAGAGTAAGAAAATGAAAATGACAGAACTGGCATAATGATACATCCTATAATCCCAGCATTCGGGAAATTAAGGCAGTACCTTCAAATTCAAGCCCTACCTTTATACAGCAAGACCCTGTCTCAAAACAAACAAATAGGGCTGGGGAGATAGCTCAGTGGTCTAAGCACTTGCATGGCAAGTGCAAGGACCCAAGTTCAATCCCCAGTACCACATGCCATGCCAGCCCCAGAACCCAGGGTGCGCCAGGCCCAAAACCGGGCATGATGACACACACCTGTAATCCCAGTGTGGGAAGGCTGAGGAGGATCACTACTGAGTCTGAACTGTGTATCCAATAAATAAATAAATACATAAATAGAAATAAAAATCAAACACAACAAAAAACCTGGTTTTCAGTTTTTCCTGCAACTGATTTTAATGTTGAATAGATCAAATCTTTTCAAATCTCTAAACTCTGAGGCAAGACAAAGAACTGTCAGTATTAAGTGGTATAGACATACTTTGTTCTTTTTTTTAATGTATATAGTATAAGGTGTACAGGGTCTCATTACACAGATCAGTCTTGTAGTGACCCTCCTGTTTTCAGCCTCCCAAGCGCTGGGATTATAGGCACACGCCAGCACACCAAGTCTTGTTCTCTGTCTCAGCGAGCTCCAGGGGTGGGGCCAGCATGGTAGATGTACTTTGTTGATTAGAAACTTTTTGCATATAAGGAACTTTACCAGTGTGTGCTCCATTGGAGAATGTATCATTTTTGTAATGACGTACATATGGCAGGCATGTGTATGTGTACTTAGAGCCAGATGCCTGCTCTCCAGGTTGATTCCCTCCTGAGAGCACACTGCACACACTCAGTGTGTTCATTTTAGTCGCAAAAATTTATCATTCACTTTTTAGGTTGGCTGCTCCTCAGGGCCACGTTGTTTCTAGGTAGTACCAAGTTTCTGATTCAGGTGAGTGTACAGTTGGGCCTGAGAACTGGTATTTCTAATAAGTACTGAGTGACACTGAGCTAAGGGACCAGACCACACATTGAGAACCATTGGCCTTGTTAATAGTCTTCAGTAGATACTAAGAGTTAATCTGGTGCTCCCTGCTTCTACCTTACTCTTATTCAGGACCAGCACATGGTTTCCTGTCCTTTCCGCACTTGAGCTGAAGTTTGTGATATTTGTGCTCAGATCTCTGTGCTAGGGCTCTGCCTGAGTGATAGCCTCCCAGCTATGCAGACATCAGTGCTGATATGTCAACTTCACTGGATTAAGAAAGGCATCCAGGTCAGTACAGGATGCTCTTGGGTGTGTCTGGGCTGACTACGTAGGCGTGGCCTGTGTATCTCTGTGATCCTTTCCTGCCCCTCTCTGGTTCTCCTCTCATCCTGCTCCCAAGCCACCATGATCTGAGCAGCCTTGCTCCACCACACCCTTCCACTGTGATGTTCCAGCCTTGGAGCCAGCTGACCATGGACTGTGTCTCCTAAAACCACAAGCTAAAGTAAACCCTTCCTCCTTTGTGAATGTAGAGTACTGTGTCCAGCAAGGGGGAAACTAATACACTCATCCTTTTCTGGTTTTATTACTAAGTTTTACTAAAGAAATCAGAACAACAACAAAAGAAATGCAAAGATGCTGTGCCATTTGGAAACATTTCCCTACTTGGCTTGAAGGGAAAGATCAGGGAATACTTAATGATTCTTCAATGGCACTGCTCCCAGACAACAGAAAGGGAGTTAAAGAACTGAGTTCTTCTGCTCAGAGTTGTTTGAGGCTGTCTTTCACATAGCTTCCTATGCCTAAGCTCTAGCACCAATGCCTGGGTGCTGTTTTATAGGATTTGTACATACAAATACATTTAACCCACATAGCACCAATGTAAATCCCTGTTTTACAGATGAGGGTACTGGGCCTTGGAGAAATTAAGCACCTTGCCCAGATTCAGAGAGCTTCAAAGCATGAGCGCCAAAGCTAGTTTCAAGCAGCTCAACACCAGGCTGGGCTCCAGCCGCTCTGTTATGCCATCTAATGCAGTGCTCAGTAAGTATCTTCAATGAAGAATTACACACCTCCTGTTTGATAGAAGAAAAGTCATTTGTTCTAGTCCCATCAACCCTCTTCCTCCTCCAATCTATAAATCTGTGTCCCTATACCTTCCCCCACTACCTTTTTTCCAGACTCAAGCAGTTCTCTTCTCTCTCACTTCAAGTCCAGTCCTTCTCTAGGTCCTTGACCCCACCTCTTCTCATTTCTCTGCACTCCCTTCACCAGGTAATTCCATTTAGCAACTATCATTTCTCATTATCCTCCTCCTCACCCAACAAAATCCCCCCATGGGACCCAGCATTCATCCTTCCACCTTTTGAAATTCAATCTCTAATCTCCTCTCCTCTTTCAAACTTCTTGAAAGGATAGTCTCCACTTTTGCCTCCCTTCCCATTTGCCTCTCAATAGACTACAATCTGATTTCTACCACAAGGTTCTTTAAATTTCTTTCATTTAGTTTGACAATACATTCCCAATTATTAAACAAATGTTTCCAGTTATTTACTGATATTTTATATTGGTCTTAGTTCCTTCCCCCCCCCCCCCCCGAGACAGGGTCTCACTATATACTAGACACTGGCCTTAAACTTGCTAATGTAGCCCAGACTGGCCTTGAGCTCACAAGGATCCTCTTGTCTTGGCCTTCTGAGTGCTGGGATTACAGGTGTGCAAAACCATGCCTGGCTGCTCTCACCCCTTTGAAACTCTGTTCTTTTGGCTTCTGGTTGCCTCTGCCTCCAGTTATTTCTGGGAGACCCCATCCACTCTCCTAAATTCTTCTTTCTCTCACCACCTTGGTATATAATTCAGGCTGGCCTTGAACCCATGAGCTTCCTGCTTCAGGCTGCTGAGCACTGGGATTATAGTTGTAGGAAAGGGAGAGAAAGAATAGCAACATTCTACTCCTAGGCCACAGAGGAAAGCAGTGACTGTGTTGAAAAATCACATTTGGATTAAGGGAATAGATAATTCAACTTAAATAGGAAATATTAATGCAGAGGGCCTGAAGGCTAAAGTCGGGAGTTCTAGCGTTATACCACATTATACCATTTGTAGAGTGTAGGTTAGTACAAATGCTGTACAGATGCTCATAGCTCCTACAGGCAAGGCATGTAGGCCCCGGTACCAGGATACACAGTGGGGAGCAGAGCAGAGGGCTGCTCTGAGAAGCAAAATAGCCTGATACAGGGTGAAAGCACATGAATTATAAAAAATTAAAAACAACAAAACCCTCAACAGCTATAATTTAAAATTTCATTCATTAAAAAGTACATATATATGTGTGTATATATACATATTTTTTTTTTCTTGTACTGGGAATCAAACTCAGGACGTCATACTTACTAGGCAGGTGCTGTGCCACTGAGCTGTAGCCCAGCTTTTATATATATATATTTTTTCCACCTTATATATACTTAATTCTTTTTTTTTTTTTCTTTTTTGGCAGAACCAGGGATTGAACTCAGGCCCTTGTGCTTACCAGGCAAGCACTTATTCTACTGAGCCATCTTCCTGGCCCCCTATATATACTTAATTCTTAAACATTTTTTATTTTGAAACACATTATTAATTGTATGTCTTATTGTAATCAGTAGCATTTTCCCTGATATATAAAATGCCATTATCTTTTTTTTTGTGGTAATGGGGATTGAACTTAGGACCTTGCACTTGCCAGATAGGTGCTTATGCCACTGAGCTACATCCCCAGCCAATGCTATATCTTTTTTTTTTTTCAATGCTATATCTTAAAGGTGATGTCATCTAAGATTCCATGAACTATGATAAATAAGGAATTCCAAGGCAAAGTTTTAAACCAGGGAAGTTAGAAGGATTTATTATTTTTAACAAAAAAAAAAGTGTGTTCCCTTGATCTCCATGCTGGAATCGAACAAAACCTATCTGGGCAATGACCCATAGATAATATTGCTATTCACCCACTCCCGCACTTGAACTTAATACTATTAGTAAGTACTTATTAATGACAACTTTAATTTGATCATTGGAGCTTAACTCTCAAGAAGTCATCAAAACTGGAAGCAAAGGCCAGCTGACACTGAAAGGAGTACATGACGTTTAGCGATGCTGGCGTTCATTCCAATGTTGCGTACAGCCATCTAGGCCAGCAGTGGTCCTTTGAACAACCGGAACTTCTTCAAATACTGATTCACTTCTTCCTTGGGGTACGGCCGGAGTGCAATGCAAGTGGCAATATTCTCTGGCTGCTCAAGCCACAGGGTGTGGTCCATGTTCTTCTGCTGCAGGGTCTTAGCCAGTTCCTTTAGGGTGGTCTCATCTGGGGCCTGGCAGAAGCAGAACACAGCAGAGACTCAACAGCCCACCTAGATGCGTTAATAGCCATCAGTGGGGTGGGAAGTTGTTCTTAACAGAAACTGGAGAAACAGCTTCACCAAAGGCACTGCAGAGCAACAAGTTCATCCCCTGGTTTGCTATGCACTCTCTGTAGGACCTTTGCTAAGCAGCTTGGGAGGACTGGGGGAGATGGGAGAGCAGAAGGGGCTTTACAGTCCTGTTCACAAAGCGGAGATTTTTCTCTTCCCTGTTGAAATGTATGCATTGTCATTTTTAGTTCTCTTATAGTTGGCACCCACAACAGACATCCCTAATCCATCAATCATCTCTGATTTTATGAGCTGCCTACTAGAAGGATATCTAAAATAACAAGCACCTTCTACATGTCCTCTCCTTCTACCAGGCTCACCCAGAAAGGTTTTCTTTCTGCTGGGAAGGCTCCCATTTTCTTACTAAAAGGAGAACAAATAATTCTCTATCGTCCTTTTGAAATTATTTCTGGATCCTCCTTATCACCCAAGTCCAAGAGGAGCCCATGCTGAATCCCACTGCAGGAAGCATTATCTTGCAACTCAGAAAATAAAGACAGTGCATTATTTTGCATAAGATAAATAGTTTTTGTCTGTCAAGGTAAGTAGAGGTTTCTCTTATTAAGTTGGAGGACTCTGGGATCGCCCTTAGTGTCCTAAACTCTGCCCAACTTGTTGACACCCTCCTGTTGCACTGAGCAGCAGCACAATTCAGTTCCGTGGGATGAGTAAGCCTCTGCTGGACATGAAACTTTTTTTTTTTTTTTTTTTTTTTTTTTT